CAAAGCTGGCTGAGGAACTCTGGGAGTTAAATCCACAGGTCTTAAAGTTGCCAAGGTTGGAGACCACTGATGTATACGACCAAACAACTTTTGATCGCTTGGTTTTGTACATGATATTCATCCATCCATCCACTCTCCATTCATTTTATTCTCTCTTTTCATTTAAGGATCTTATTCCCATTGCATTCAATGTCCTTTGATATTCCTCCTGATAACTTGCTCTCACTTTTTTAAATGTAAAGAAGCTACTATTACACACAGTGTTTGCCTCTTAAATAGCATACATATATTTAGAAATGGGTTATAAAGGAACTTTACTTTAGGTACAACTAAAATAATGTGCATGGACAAAGACCATGCAAAATAACTGTATCGTATGCTTTCAAGCAAACACATTTCTAGTTCTATGACTAAAACCTTTAATGTGACGATCGCAAATTCAATATTCAATAATAAAGAGACTCTTCTCTTATGTGGGAATGAGAGAAAGCAAGTTCATTTGTAGAGTTAATATCTCAACTTACGACCAGTCTTTTAGTGACTATTCCAGTTATGACAGACCCTCCAAAAGGCATTTACAACCTAGCTCTGATTGACTGTCTTCCCTGCGGACTCGTGACAGCATTTCAGATACTCAGAACTGGCCTGCATCTACCACTGTTGTAAGTAGAGAACTACCTATTCAAGAACACAAACTTTCCACCCTCCCTTAACAACAGGAACCCACCACTATTAGAGGAGGGTCCATGGTGAAGAAAAGGTTGATAACCATTGATTTACATGATAGCATTAGGTTGTCAATAGGTGGACCCCCCCCCTTTAATAGTGGTGGGTTCCTAGCAGTTCGGATTGGTTCGGCCGAACCGGTAGTGGTTTGGCGGCCTGGGTCGCTGTCCTGCCAGGACCCCAAATTGGTTCTCCAGGCGGAGCCATAGGTGCCGCCTTCTTGTTTTTTTTTTACTTCTGCGCATGTGCAGAACATTTTTTACTGTATTGTGCATGCGCCCACAGTGCACATGAAGCGTGCATGCACAGCACACCCACAAGCAAACCAGCAGTAGTGCCTGCCGGAACCCATCCCTACCCTTTAAATGAAGACTTAACTCAAGATTTAAAACATAACATTTCTTCAAGCCTTCACAGATCCTCTGTGAGGACATGGGGGGGGGGGCAGGGGTTTGTGGACCACAGTTTGAGAACCACTGATGTAAATTATATAGTGTTATCTTTTTTTTTGTAGTAAGGTTATAAATAGCTAGTGCTAGAAAGTTCACTCAACCTTTGTTTCCAATTTGGATTTTTTTTTAATCCTGACACAATGCTATCAGATTGCAACATGCAATTCCAACACAAGAAAAAAGCAAAATGCTCTAGTTATGAGTAGCTCATATAAATATTCTACTTGTTTGTAGGACTTCCGTCAAAATGGGAATCCCATCTTGATCATTTAACTAAAAAAGGGGGGGTTGAATTGTACCTATTCTTATTTCCTGACATTAGACTCCTTACCTTGAGCCTAGTTCTTTTCACACACCTCTACTCATCTCTTTTCAGTTCAGTACTTTACCTCCAGCAAGTCAGCCTATTTGCTTTCGCATAAAAGTTGATCTGTGTTTTCAGAAGCGTTAACATCTGGATTATCTAACGATACCTCACATAAGTAAACGTCAATGGGGCCTTTTGTGCTTCTAACGTGTACTTCTATGCAGTCCTGAAAAAACACCAATGTTTTAAAGATTAAAGAACAAATTACAGGATGACAAATATTTTAATAGATGAAGTGTGTGTAAATTTCATTGTATTTCAAAACTCAAAGCATGCCAACATATTCACAGGAAAGAGTTCTAATTCCCCAGAATGTAACAAGAATTTCCAGGTCCCAAACACCTTACGCTGATTTATGTATAGCTTTGAACTCTGGAAACGAGCAATGGGTATGTATCTATCTCTCCGTCTTTACATAAGCTTCTCATTAAGGGTTTTCACTTAAGATCGGTGAGACAAAATCATTTTCATTTCAAATCATTACGGTTTGATCCTAATGAAATCAACTCAGATATCTTTGAAACTTCGGAATGTGGTACTTTAGAATGAGAAACCAAAAATGTGTTTAATTTCATTTCCGGGTAGAAGAAATTGGCAGCCTAAGCTATAGTTAAATTCAACAGGTAGGTTGATTTACAAGCATATGAGGCAAATCTCCTTCTGTGAAATTTAAAATGAAAATGAAAACTTCACTGTTGGTCTTTGTAGGTAGATCTTTTATACAGCTATCCATCCAATCAAATCCCAGTAATTTCAAATAAAGTACCTACTTCTTTAGGAGGGGGCACCTCCATCTTGGTCCCTTCTGGAGCTTTAATTGCAATAACAATCTGTTCTTGAAATGTCTGAATGTTATGGATATCTTGATAGGTCACATAAGCTAATGTATGCAACGGTTAAGAAATTTTAACAGCAGCAGTAGAAAGTATGGTTTACTTTCAGTATATACAGTGTGGTTATTAAAATATTATAATTACACAAACACCTAATATTGTTCAATTCCAGGAACTCTGAATATTTGTCAATGTTAAGGAAAAAGGATATTGTGCATTTTCTTTATCGTCTGTTAAGTCAAACAACTGATGAGAGCAATCTTTGATTAATTCATCCAATGCTTCTTCCATTGTTGTCAAATCACAGAGTTCATCTCTTAACTCCTGTTGCTCCGGTGTTTGTTTGGTAATATGCTTAATATCTGAACCCCTAAGATAATTTTTCAAAAAAAGAACAACATAGAAGGTTTAAGCTTAAAGGTATAGGTAGCATCACATCATTTTATCAATACCAAAATCATATTTAATGAGAGCATAAAAATATCTACATTCTACTAAAATTCTTGTGTCTGTAACCTTGAACTGGGCAAAATGGTATATCAAAACTTTGTCAACAAAGATACCTCAAATAGGACCTTTTATAGAAGGCTGGCGCTCTTTACCCCTGAGGAAATGAAATTTGGGAAAGCTGTGGCTGCTTCAGTGCTGCCGGGGTCACATAATCCTTATTTTCAACATTTGGTGACGCTCATCCAATCCCTTGCTCCCTCCCCCCAGGCAGCAGAACCTACATACCTGTCTTCTGCGAAAAGACGTAGGAAAGGAAGGCAGGAACAATGAGGAATGAACCTCACATACCCTTCCTGGCCTCAACTGCCTTTCCCAACCCATGCAGATATTCTTGCACATACCTGTGACCAGCGTTCCCTCTAAGCTGCGCGCGTGAGCGGCCGCGCAGGTAACAAAGAAACACCGCGCACAAGTTTCAAA